ATCTGAGCTGCTGTCTCAGGGCTCATGCACTTTCACCCGCATGGCCAGAGACATGATTACTGTGACCTCCCAGGGCACCACATGGGCACGATGGAGGAAAACAGGCCCTCCAGCCCCTCACGCCCTGGGTGGTGTTTTCACAAATCCATGTGCAATTAAAGAATGAGAAGTCGCGATGGGCCAGACAATGTTAAGTCTTTGCCCGAGTCCTCTAGACCAAGGTCCAGTACACATTTTCTGTAGAGTTCTACAGAGTAACTCTTTTGGCCTTTGTGGGCTATATGGTCTCTTTCTCGACTACCCCACGTTGCCTTTGTGGGTTGAAAGCAAATCAGAGTGGGCGTGTGCCAGTAAGACTTTACATACACAGGTGGGCAGTGGCTGTTGGCCCTCGGCCATAGCTGTCAGCCTCTGAACAAGAGCCCCTCTGCATGCACCTGCAGCTGGTGCCCGAGTGCCAGCATGCTGCCAGCTCCTACCTCAAGCACCTGCGACTGTCCCAGCTTGGCCCAGGGCTTACTCTGTGTGGATGGAGCTCCCTCAGCAGAGCAGGTACATCTGGCAAGTGTGGGAGAGGTCATGTGTGAGGGTCACCACCATCATCAAGAGAAAGACAGGTGAGTGTCCGAGTCTCCCCAGCATCGGGGCACCTGATTCAGAGGCAAGTTCCACATGGGTTCTCAGAGTCTCCCCAACAGGATGAACCCCCATGGCCCACAGGGTAAACCACTGAGAACAGACATGATGGTTTTCTTCCTTTTCTGTCTCCCTCTTTCACTTGTGTCTCCTGAGATCCTCTCCAAATAAACTACACGCTCAGTCTGTGTTTCAGGTCAATGTGGGGGAAATCAAATCAAGACATGTGGTCTGTCTGGACTGTCGTCTTGGAATGTGTCCTCCCTAGAGACAGCTGGGCAGGGAATGCCCAGGCCGTGTGCTTCCAGGCAAAGCCGCAGGGAGCGCCAGCACTGAGGTGGGCACTGCCCTGCCCTGCCTTGTCTCAGACTTGAGGTTTTTCTTTAGTCCCTCCCACCACCTCTCCTGTCTGCTCCCACCCCGTCTATCCCTTGGCCATGGCTGTGTCAGCAGAAAGATGCTTAGAGGAGACCTTTATCCATGGTAATGCCAGCACACGTTTTCCAGAGTCCACCCCATCCATTCCACTCAAGCCCCATTTCTCAGGCGGTTCCCAGGAGCGGGTCTCGTGGGGGATCAGCTCACCAGGGAAGTCCTGGCTCAGGACACTGTGAGCACAGACTTGTTGGTGGGGCTGGGGGGGGGAGGATCCCACAGGATGGCATCAAAGCCCTGACTCCTGGTGGGACATGCTAGTTCCTGGCTGACTCTGTTCACATGTGTGGGGTTTTGTCAGTTTTCTGTATCCCCAGAAGAGGGTCTCCACAATGTCCTGGTTTTGAGGAGGTCCCCACAGTACCTCTAGGTTTCTGAGTTTTGCATGACATTGGCTGGGTGCTCAGGCCTTGTGAGATGATGGGTCTAGCACTGAGGCCTGTTCCTTTGGGAAGACCTCTCCTACCTGCCCTTGCCCATCTGTGCCTGCTCCTGGAGGTGGCCACCTGGTCACTTCTCTTTTTTCAGGAATCTGTGTAGTAAGGAATGAGGAAATTGGTCCATAGATTTTGAGGGTGGCCATGAGGTAGGCACCTAGGCAAATCTTATGCCAGAGGCTGAAGCCAGAGCCATGCTGGGAGCAGCTGGTCAGCGGCATCCCTGGCCCGGGCCCCAGGAAGGAAAGGGGGCACAGACTGCCATGTAGTGTCATGAGCTCTCTTGCTCTCCACAAATATCAGTTCTCATCCAACTCTGCACCCTCCTAGCTTCTAACCTCCCAGCCTCAGTTTCCCAATAATGTACACAGGGATGACAACCCCTGCTTGTCTGACCTCAAAGAGTTGCAGCTGAAATCAAACAAGGGAGTCCAAGAAAATAGTCAAATTAGTTCAAAATGCTCTCCATGCACACTCCCTTATTCTGCACTGTGGCCACCTCCCCATCTGCTAGTGGCACATGTGGGCACTGTCCTCATCTCTCCCAGAGGGACACAGTCCTGGAGATATTAAATATAGGACTGAACACACAGTAAGAATGATGTGGAGAACGTGGGGAGGTCTTTGTAGCCTCTCAAGCCGCTCCTTGAGCCAGAGGAAGGGCAGATGGGGTGAGCTGGGAGAGGAAAGGGGTTGCCATGACAGTGAGTCACATCCCAGCTGACAGTGGTCCTGCCCCGTGTGTGGCCTCAGGATGACTTCTGCCCATTCCATTTCTCCACTTCAGGTCCTAAGACTCAGATCCTCCTCATGCCCTGGTACATCCCACACATTCAGAGCTCTGGCTCCTGCTGGCTCTTGCTGAGCACAGGAAGGGAAGTGTCTTAGTCTGTTCTCGTTGCCATAACAGAATATCCCAGACTCGGTAACTTCTATAGAACAGAAATTTATTTCTCAGAGTTCTAGAAGCTGGGGAGTCCAAAATCAAGGCACTGGCCTTGCCACATCCCCACATGGCGCAGGCTGTACCCAAAGACTGTGTGAAGCCCCTTTGGGGGGGTGGGGCTTAATCCCACCCGTTAAAGAGAAGCTCCCATGGCTTAATCACCATGTAAAGGCCTCACCGCTTAATACCGTCACACTGGCAGCACCTGAATTGTGGCGGGGACACACTCAAACCACAGCAGGAGCATTCCCTGCTTTGTAAGGTGAGTTTTCAACTCTGTCTTCTCCTTTTCCTTTTTCAATATTATTCATGAGCTAAGGAAAAGCAATAATGTGCTGACAAAGGCAATGCTTCTGTCATCCAAGTTGTCACATAAAGAGTGAGGTCTCCACAGTGGCAGGTGAGGGTGGGACCCCGCATCACTCCAGCCGTCCTGCCCTGGCATGGCTGAGGCTGATGAGGCTCTGGTACAGAAAGGACCAGCAGCAAAGGTGTCTCTCGAGCCCATGTGCCTGCACATTCCAGATCCCCTCACACTCACGTAAAAATGTTGCCAAAAGTGGGTCAATAAAAACTCAAAAGTTTCATGAGTAAATAAAACTGCCTTGATCCCAACTCTTCATCCTGACTCTGGCTCAATGGCTTGGCAGGGACCAGGCAGTTTTGTGGAGTTAGACCTGCACCAACACACTGCCTATACTAGCCCGGCTGGCCTCAGACGGGGCAGGAAGGTTTGCTCGACCCCAAGCCATACAACAGGTGTCGTGGCTAAGATGGAACTGACCAGCCCAGGGTGTGTGAACAGCCCAAGTTCCTCTAGGTATTCAACCACACTGTCAGGGCTCAGCAGAGAAAGCCCTTCTCTACGGCCAGCTCCAGCTGAGGAGCGAGAGAGCCAGTGGCCTGGAAGCACAGGCTGCACACCCATC